CCCCAAAACCCCAAAACCCCAAAACCCCAAAACCCCTCTGAACTCTTTATATAGAATTTTTGGTAAAAATGAATATTATAAGATAATATATAAATTTTAGCATTATTTAATGGTAGACTCAGGTATGTCCTAAGAGGAAATATTCGAAGAACAATACTCAGAATTGGAAGCTCTGCAATGCATATATATGGATGATTTCTTGATACTCTAGGAGAAGCCTTACAAGATTGAGATTATGCTGAATGCAAGCAACGAATCAGACTATAAAAATCACTTGAAGATGAAGATGATTATTGACTTGCCAGAGACCTACCCTAACTAAGTGCCTAATATCAGAATTAAGAACCTGTGCTAGGACATCATTGACAACAACCTTATGATTCAGTTTGAGCAGATGGTTATGACCAAGGCAGAGGAGAGTATCGGCAACCAGATGATCTATGATGTATGCGAGCATTTAAGAGAGAAACTTTCAGATATGAATGATAAAATTCTATTCAAGCTAAAAGAGATCGAAGAGTTCAATTCAGTAGACAAGGCACTTAAAGCAGTGACCATTTCATAGGACGCTCCAATGAACTTCACTCCTGTTAACGCAGAGACCTTTGCCAGATGGTTGGCTGATTACAAGGAAAAGCAGAGAAAGCTGAAGGAGGAGTAGAAATCAGATGTTGAACTTAAAATGACTGGCAGAGAGCTATTCCAAATAAAGAGCAAAGTTATTGACGAGATTAACATTGATGAAGAGGATGAAGGCGATGAAGAATTCAAGAATGACGAGGGTGATGAAGAAGAAGAGGAAGATACATTCGTATATGACAAAGCTTTGTATGTAAATGATGAGCAAGAAGAAGAAGAGGTAGACTTTGATTGAAAATGGTTTCAGTGACAAAATGAGTGCTTGGCTATATATTTTAATTAACAAGTTTAATATTCCCATTCTATTAAATCTATTTAATCATACATTTAGGGGTTTTGGGGTTTTGGGGTTTTGGGGTTTTGGGG